ACTATCTTTTGGTGTCCCCCAGGGATCTGTGTTAAGACCTCTGTTGTTTCTTATGTACACTGCTGATGTTTTTGATATTATTCAAAAATATGAGTTCAGCTCCCACGCCTTTGTTGATGATATTCAGTTATTGGTATCTTGTCAAAGGTCAAAATTTCATCAATCTGTATTGGCAATGATATCATGGAATTTTCCACATCTGTCCGTAGTCTTGGAGTAGTTATTGACTCAAACCTAAAGATGGATTTACATATTAATAGTTTAGTGAGAGTCTGCTCCAACCAATTGCGTTTATTACGCAATGTCAATAAATCACTAAACACGTCTGTTCTTCAAAGTTTGATTTCCTCTTTCGTTTTTTCTAGACTGGACTATTGCAATGGTCTTTTTTATGGTGTCATCAAAAGGTTTTTTTCAAAGCTTCAGTCAATACAGAATCGTGCGGCCAAGCTTGTTTTGGGTGGTTCGTGGTTCGATCATGTTACGCCTATTTTGAATAGGTTGCACTGGTTGAGGGTTGAGAAACGTGTTTTCTTCAAGTTAGCAGTTTTGATGTTTAAATGTGTCAATAATGCAGCACCTCCCTATCTAATTGATAGATTGAAATCATACAAATCTCATTTTTCAAAACACTCCTTCCGATCAACCGAGCGCAATTTATTTTTATCCCGACTACAAAGTTAGCGACGGGTTCCCGCAACTTTACGGTTCTTGGCCCGGTTGTTTGGAATGGTTTACCTCCTTACTTACGTGACCCTAACCTATCATATTTACAATTTTGAAGTCAGTTTAAAACGTCCGTCTTATTTGTCTATGATTCAGTAGCGCTTTTGAGTTTCAACAATTAAAAAGCGCTGTATATAATTTTCCGTAATAATAATGATAATTATATATATATATATACATATACTGGATACATATATATATATAATATATATATATTATATATATATATATATATATATATATCTATATATATATGCGTGTCTGTGTATGTGTGTGTTTTTGCGTGTTTGTTTGTGTGTGTTTTGTTTTATTTATCAATCTTCTGCGGTATACGTTTATATTTGTATGGGCCAGTTGTGTTGTGTGAATTTGCATTAATTTACAAATTATTCAACGCGTATGTTAACCGTAATCATATTTCAAAGCGAAGTAATTCAATGAGATGAGGCTTTCGAGATGGTTACATACATAAATCTCGAGAATTAATTATTATAATCTGATGAATAAATTATTATAATGTAATGAACAAATTATTATAATGTGGCGAATAAATGTTTACAATGTAAAGAATGGATTATTTTTCTTTTATTCAAAAGTCGATTGAATATCACTAAAGAGCACCCTGACGACATCTTTACAAAATTTATAGATTGTTGTCAAAAAATAATTTGCTATTACGTTCGAACGCAACGATGGAAGAGCAATTGAAGCCATCGTCGTTGAGATGGAACATCAGCTCAGCACGAACAACAACATGAAACATTTATAAACTCACACTTGTATTTTTCATTGTTTTAACACTAAGTTTAATAAAGTTTATGGTTTTGTTAACGATTCATTCAAAATAAAAGTTAAATTAAGATTGACAACTAAAATTACTCTCACATAAAAGCGAGAATAATTTAATAGCAAGCAGCACATGAACACTGGTAATGTTTAAATTCTTGATGTTGTCCGTGTGCAAATTTTTTACTATCAAGCACACAAATGTGAGGATGAATTTGTCGATGAAGGAAAGATATTTGTGCAGACAAAAATTTTCTTTAGCATTCTGATAAAATCTCATTGTGATGAAATGATCATGACGTTGGGGCTGTTTGTTAAACACTAATGATGTTAACATTAACACATCGATTCGCCATATAAAAATTGGATTTTTATTTTGTTTTATGTTTTATTAATTTATTTAAGCTTCTGTTAAAAAGCTATCCAAGTTACCGCGTTGGTAACAGCAAATATTATTTCGAATTTGATTCCATATCTTCCTCTTACAAACGCATATGCACACCATACACACACCATACACACATAAACAAAATCGAACGGTATTTTATTTATGTTGCATGATTGTCCGTCATAGTTTGTATTATATTGTATTTTGCTTTATTTTCCTTTTTAGATCATTCTATGTTTTACATGTGATACCTGTGAGAATTTAATTTTAAAAATAAAATGGATACACCTCACATGAGATCACCTATGCACACAAGCAGGAACGTACTTTTTTATGTACAGTACACAGTTCAGTCACAGTACAGTCACTGGCAGGCATACATATAAGCATACAGTCAAAAGCATGTACGTACGCATATGCATACGTACAATCAAACACTTGCTAGCACCAACCAAAGTTCAATGACAATCTTATCTTCACAACGAGATCATGACAATAAAAAGTTATGTTTACGCGAACACACTGGGTATGATTGAATGCGACAAATTATTTCAAACCATATAATCCGAAGTTTTTATTAATGATTGAAACATTTGTTTTTTAATTATTAAGCAAATTGTCTATTTTTGTATCATATCACAAAAAAACTTAGAAAAGTACTCTAACGTAAAGGCATAATGACACACATGGACACGTAGGCTTAGGCACACACGCATACACAGTACACACGAATACATACGCGCAAGTCGCACACATTATGCACAGAAAAAACTCAAATACCCGATTTACACGCTCTTAACATTTTGAATTTTTAAGAAAATTATTGATCTTTTTATTCCATTTTTTTTATCTCGGTTTAATCGTTGGTTACTATTGTCGTTATTTTACGCACACTGAGGTAAAGGGCTGTCCATGAAGGATGTCACTTTCGAGGTAGGAAAGAGGATCGACAAATTGGTGACCCCTTGTGAGAAGGCTATAAGTCAATAAGCTTATATGACGTTTCGTTTTGCACTTTTTCAATTTCTATCCTAAAAATATTATAGTTTATAAAATTTTATGTGTTCAGTATGCTTCGAAAGAGTCAATTTTTTTTATTTAATTCAAAAAGCTATGATAAATGTGTTTGCTTGATTTTAACGATATTATATCATTATCGAATATATTAGGCAGAGGTCGGTCCGGCCCCTCAAAAAACTCCGATTTCAGGTAAAAATTCCCAAGTCCGGGTTCCGAATTCCAAAAATTTTTTAACTTTTAAATCATAGTTTTTCTTTATTATCACTACTAAATAAAAAATTACTTTAAAAATCACTTTAAATTTGTCGATGTTTTTCTTAGTAAAATTACGTTATTTTTGTTTTACAACACACTGACAAATTTTCGGTATTAAAGACGATTGCATACCTCTACACATATTCATCTTCTTAAAAACACGATTTGACTGTCGCTCCTTCAATAACTTCGTGATGTGTATTTATTTGAATCTATTTCGAAAATTGACCAATAACTTAGAATAAAGATATTTATTCACAAACATTGTAGAAGTTTTCAACCGTCAGTGATTAATTACCCAGATGTATAATTTAACGCGAAATTAAATTTATTATAAAATAATAAAATAAAAGCATTAGATAAGAGATAATTCATCAATTAACTACAATCTAGAGCTAGAACATTTAATCAAATCTAACGCGGGTCAGTGTCTGCGCGACTTTAATCAATCACGGATTTTACAGGTTTAAGGAAAACAGACAGATGCTTATTTATTATACGAACGTAGCCTCTTCCCGGAATAACAGTTGATATAAATTGTCGAAAACGCTAAATTATTAAATGTTCAACAACTTTTTTTGCGAAAATGGAGCGCGTTGGTTGGCTATGAATTTGTAGCTTCAAAAAGTGAAAACAAAACAGGGGAAACTGCAAATCATTTCAAACATTAAATAATATCAGATGGATTTCTCGACAATTTCAGCGCACAACGAATCAACAAAGGAAATTAATTGTTGCAATAATTAAAAGCCATTGCATATTGTTGGATTGAGTTATGTACATTTGCAATTATTAATAAAGTAACAATAAATCAGTTAACAACGCAAAACTCGTCAATTTTTTTCTTCAATCAAATAACTACTGAACCATTTGACTGACAAACGAACGACACGACAGTTCATTGGCGATCAGACGAAAATGAACTACGATGATCTGAAGAGAGAAAATCTTTTTGATAAACTTCCAATGTGACTGTTGATGACATTCCTGATGTCGTCGTACTTGGGTAGTTCGTTGAGGTTGCCGAGGGCAGCAACTGAAGGTCTGCTGGTCAGCATCTTCCGAGCCACTCGTTGGACGTCAGCCTCTGTTATCTTCTCTGCATTAATAATCACGTTACATGTGATTACCTGGTTAATCATGTCCTCACAATTGTCATTCTAATCTTCATTACAATACTCTCTATAACTATGTAGCCAATAAAATATTAGGTACTAATGGTCGAAACATTAATATGCAACTAGATGTACGCTAGCGATAGATATAACAAATAACTTTTCAAACCATATATACATTGGAGTCTTTAACAGATTTTAGGGTATTTATAAAAGGACAACCATGAACCATTGATTTCGTTATTAAGTTCACATTTTGAAATCATCCACACGACAACAAAAACGTCAATTAGGAACTGTCACAAAAGAGTCACTATTTATAATTATTTACAACAAATGGTCATTATCAAAGCATGACCTCAAAATGTTGCAAATCAGTCGAATATAACAAAGGGTTACTAACGTATCAAGTCGCAGTAGTACTCAGATGGCATTCGTTTGCCATTGGAGAGGACTTGCCTGCCGACATCTTCAAAAACGACGGGTCTGGCCTCCAAGTTCATGAGTAACATGGACTGCAGTTGAGTCTTGGCTCTGTTCAGTTCATCAGGTGAGATGTCGTTCTGCGTGTTAACCAGTTCACGCAGGATCACATCTGTCAGCTCTTTCAACTGGTTCGTTGATGTGTTGCGTCATTGTGAGATGTTGATGAGTTGTCGTGGTATACATACAATACAGTTAACTATACTTCTTTGTGCCGTTTGAGATTATACAGAACGGCAGGAATGTGTGTTTATGAATTTAACAGTAATAGTTGCAAGAAGCTGTTTGACCAAATCACGCAATTGGTTTTAACAAATCAAACCATCAAAAGGATGAACGGGTCAATGAATTGATAAACTAACACTGGATGGATGTGAACTGGCATGTATGCAGAACAGACCTGAATCATTGTAGGCGTGGTTGAATGCCGTGGCATTGTGGATCCAGTGATGTCTGTATCGTTCGTTATAATGACATATCAAAATTCATTGTGCTAATGAAAAGCAGTGACGTTTTTCAAAAATCATGACAGAAAACACTGGAATGCTCTATCTACTGTTACAATATAAATCGAATGAATAGAATGAAAAGTGACAATAGAGCGGTGAAGATGTGGACCTGTTGAGTACGTTGAGGTAGAGTCTGGTGTACATTCCCTTGCCCGGTCCTCCAGCGGAGAACGACCCTCCACCCCCCATCAGCATGTTCAGCACGCACGTCGCTACGAAGTCTTCATTATTTGGCAATAGTAAAATTTGTTAATATATTTCTTTGAGAAGAACACTGACAGGCATACAACTATCAGCAACTCATCACGTTATTATTGTATCACCCATCATCCTCTGCAGATAACATGAATCAGAAGACAGGACAGAAATGATGGCGAACACTGGTAACGTTATGCAACTGTATCAAATTAGTTTTGCTGCAGCAAACAAACCAACAAATGTCAAGCAAGAAACAACTTCATTAATGTAGATGGTCAATGAAAAAGAAGACAACAGTCAACATTTAAAATCTGCTTGAACATTCTCTAGGAAAGTCAGATCCTAAAAAATGCAGAGATAGACATTAAGACAACAATAAAAGAATTAAAATAATAAAAATGAAATAATAAAACGATTACATTTCAATTGAGTGTAACTCAAAATGAACACCAAATAACGTAAGAACCAACCTTCATGTTTGTGGGAACAACTTTCCAGACCAACAACGAAATGAGCCAGTTCGGGCATGGGAGTGGGACCGAGGCTGACGTCTGACAGGTCCTTCACCACCTACATTACATTCAACAAAATAATCTCAACAGAATTATCAAGAAATTTACATCATTAACAGTCATTTCGTTTGAAACTGCTCAATCAAGTAATTTAGAAATACAAAGCAGACAAGCCCCAAATACATAAATAAATGATAAAAAAAAGTTTCTGACTGAAATGAAAAGAACGGCAGCTAACCTCCCTACTTCCTCCAGTATACTGGGCAACAGATAGATCCTTATTCTTTGGATGTGTGTTGACAACAGGGTCGCCTGTCCACGTGGGCTGCGAAGTGAAGTGTCTGCGAGCGAGAGCCACCAGTTCCTCATGGTCAACACCAACACCTGGCAGAAGTCAACATTTATTATTTTCATCTAATAAGGAACACCTGGATAGCTTGATGAGATGATTGAAGATGAACAAGTACCTGCAAGAACCATGCGCTCAGGAGTGTGATACTGATTGAAGTAGTTCAAGATCGTGCCTCGATCGATCTGGGACACATTCTCTGCAGGACACATCTTCGGAAGACCCAAGGTGTTGTTCACATAGGCTGCCTGTTAGTCAATTGTGCAAACAATCATGAGCTGCTAGAGTTTCTACAATTTACATTACTTCCATCATGTTATTTCTGTTCATGTTACCTCATTTAAACCATTGATCATCATCATAGACCACCAATCAATCCAACGAGGCATCCCTCATGGAACCACGCAGACAGAACAGAACAATCGACCTACAGAGTGGATGAGTTCGACGAGGAGAGGTTCAGGGTCAGGCCGCATGTTGATGGATTCAAGTTCAAACTCGATGGCCTGGCGAGCATACTCGATCTGTGGACAGGATGGAAGGAAGCATTAAGTGTCCACAAGTACAAACATTTCAAATCATTGCGACAAACAGCATTCATTTAGCAAAATTCATTAGCTTACAAAAAGCTTGTTCCATTTGTTGACAAATAGTTGAAAAATAAATATGGCAGAATAGTTACATTGCAATAAAAAATGTAAATAATGACAAGCCAGAATAACATGATGAACGTTGAGTTTATTTCCAGAGTAAACAATCAAAACTTTATAAAAGAATTCGTTCACATCTGCCTCACCAAACGAGCAACTGACCTCTTCATTTGTTATGCTGGGCTTGAGAGTGACTTGTGACAAGAGTTCGACCACATCAGGTAAGCCATCCGCCGATGCGGACACTGCATATATCAACGTATCCCTTGAATTAAGTAGATAAATTTTTATTACCTCAATACAAAGAAATGACCATTATTTAAATGAAATGTTCAAATCACATCTTCAAATAAACGTTGTCTCGTGCTGATAACAACATTGCATACAAAGATACTGCTTCACTTCTTGGTCCTAATCATACCAATCTATTGATGCTATTTATTTCAGGTTATAAAGGAAGAAGACAAAAATAATCAAATAAGGAAGCCAATTTTTTAGATTAACACAGTCTGTTTGAAACCGTAGCTGAATTGAATGAAATAATAAAATTAATAAAGCAAATTTATAGACCAGTATAAATACTGCTGCAATCATCAAAAAATTAATTTAGCAGTTGACAGATTGTAAAATGATCATCATTACACAATAAACATCAACAAGCATAAATTATATACATTTTAAATTAAAATGCGGGTGACTTGTGACTAAAAAATGGAATGCTGTACAATGGTGTAATAAGATGATTGGCAGTTTCTTTAAAGAAGAAAATACCTTGATCCTTGGCAATCACATATCCCTCCATGGTTCTCCAACGTTTGCAAGATGGCATCTTTGTTTGGAAATTTAGACGTCGACTGGCAAAAATTAAACATTATCTATTAAATTCAGTTTCGTTATCATGCAATGTGAATGCAGGTGTGTGCCCGCCTACGTGCATATATTATACAGAACCCACCATTCTATTGTAAAAGTTTGTCTTGCATAACATAACTTGCTTTAAAATCAAAATGTCTAGGTCTGCTTTGTACATAAAACAAATGAGTTCATTTGTTGTACAAAACATGCAAACAAACAAAAATCAAGGTATTACCATCTAATCTCTATAATCATGTTAGTCTAATAAACGTATGCGAAAATACAATATGAAGCAAAAACAAATGAAAATTGAAAAAAAAATTACAAACCGAGAAAGCAAGTTTTTCAAGGAAATGACTAGTCCCACTTTTGTGATGCACCTCATATCGTGATCCAGAGTCAATTAACACTAAAAAGAAACACAATTTCAATTGAAGGTTTAACATGATTCTCAATAACATAACATTTCAATAACCTCAAAATTCTCAATAACATTTGATTCTCAATAGATGATAACAAATAAAATAACATAATAAATATTTTGTTATTAATAAACAAAACTCCTAAAAAAAGATGTAATTTTATAAATATACTTTTAGAGATATCAAATTATAAAACATGTTGTTAAAAAAACAATTTTAAACAATATATAAAATAAACATTTTAAAAAATTTAATTTCTTTAATTGACAAAAATGATTTAAGATAAAATTTTTTTAAACAAAATTTGTCAAATGAGTTGTTAAATGAATAAGTAAATTAAAGTTCACCTCCAACTGTGCAAAACATGCCAAACTTTGCCTGAGTGGCCACCTGCAATCCGTTCTCAAGTTTCGTAACCTTGGTGTCATGCTGATCTGTTGTCGGTATCGCATACTGTGGATTAGCAAGCCATGGAATTGAATGTGTTAGGGGAATATTTGTTACTTTATCAACTGGATTTTGAGGATTGCTAGACAACAATGGATTTACAATTGAAGAAGAAAGATGTCTCCTGTTCAGAGAATAGGTTTGATTTGTGTACTTGTGCTGAAATCTACAGCAAATAAAATATCATTTATATAACTAAATTTTAAGGGAAAAAAAATATAAAAAATTAGTCTTAAGATAATATAAATTAGAAATTCTTTGTTAATAAATCTCCCAAATGATGAATGCTACTTATTATGAATGTCATATATTATTTGCAGCATTTTGCTGACATGATAAATGAAAACATAACTAATTCCATCATCATGGAGAGTACTTCAAAAATATTGACCCATGCTATGAAATCTATTTGTCCAATTTAACTACAACCAAATTAATGTGTAATCAACCACAAGCCTACATTGACATTACATGGAAAGCATTTTTACATTTTTAACAACTCAACAACTTCTAGTATCTACATCTGATATTTCAAATACAATCAAATAAAAAAATTTGTCAATTGAAACTCTTAATTTCAAAGCCATGAAATGGAGTTACTTTTTGCAGTTATTTCACTTGAACTTTTTGATCGATAATAGCTTTAATTATATTGTTTAAGAGACATAAGCTCACACTTTGTAAATTTTTAATTAGTTCTTCGGAGTTTGAATATGTAATTTTATTTGTATAAATTAATTCCACTCTAGTGAAATAAAATTATGAAAAGTGAAATAGCCATGTCTCATTTTATGTGTTATTTTAAATGATTGGCTAATGCCATAAAATAAATTATGCAGTAAATGCTCCTTATACTCTTTCATGAAAACCATTGGCCGTTTGATTCCAAAAACCATACGCAATCATTTGTCAGTTGGCTGCTTTCTATTTAAATTTAAATTTCTATTTAAAAAAAGCACTAGTGGCAGTGTTTCCACTGAATAAATTATTCAAATTTAATTGAAATCACATCAAAGTTATTAATAGGTAAAGCCCATAGCTGTCTGAATATTGCCACTTTACACATTAAAAATTTGCCATCTTTAGTGTCCAAATTTGATAAGCGTTTTTGTTGATACAGGTTATTTTACAGTTTTTATTTTCTAGTTGATTTGATAACAAATAAATAACTTACAAAGTTTGAAATCAATATTTTATTAAATTATTACTAATTTATTATTATGCTTACTATGAAAAATTCTTTATTGTTATATATCAATTTGAGATAACAAAATTTGGATGAGTTTTACAAAACATTGAAAATGAAATATAATGTAGTTGGGCCATTGCCATTACTCAATGACACTTTTACCACATTTCAGTAAAAGCCAAAAAGTATCCCTCTTTTTGGGATTTGGCTATGCAAGACTCTGAGACAAGGGGGTTTGCCTTTCAGGCTCATTTTTCAAGCAACGTGATGCTGATGGCACACTTTACAGTTTAACAAATTTTTAAATGACAATTTAACACAGGTGAAACCGGGAGTCTTGAAACTTATGTTAGGTCCTTTTATACTGTCACCTACTTTATGACGAGTAGTATAAATTACAACTGGGAGAAAATAATGGTAAAATTGGCAAAACCATTTCATCATCAGCCAGTGTTACAAAGTAATCCCCAACGTGCACAGGCATGCAGCAGCAGTTCCCTTCTTGGGTAAAACGTGAGATAGGTACTCCTATAGTATCCTCCATGTTTACAAACAATCATAATGTACTTTTAATAAATTAACTCCGCCTATTTACGATACCATAGGAGTACCAATCTCAAGTTTTACCCAAAAATTTGAGGGTGCAGTCAAAAAAATCTTCCTAACTTGAAAAATAATTGAAAGTTTTTATAAAAAATTCTTTTGTCATGAAATGCATTGAGGTACTTACTGCTAAAATTTGAAAAAATTGGAAATAGTCAGGCATGGACCGCAGTTTAGGTTGACAGAAAATGACCCTTTTGCCAATTTTTTTTAAACTAAACACAGCAGTATTTAATTATTTACTTACTGCAGATGTAGCCTGGTGTGTAATTAAAAAAAAGTTTTTAATTTTTTTTAGTCTTTGTTATTGCAGCTCTGACATACGCAGAACCACTTACAATGTTACAGATATATTATCTTTTATTATGTTCTTCGTACCTTAATCCATGCTAACCACTGGGCCATGAGACCCCTAATTAAATGTATTGTCTGTTAGAGTAAAGAAGAGATTTAACCATGATTACTTTAAAACTAATCTAAATAAAAAAAAATTAAAAAAATGATCTATAAGCAAAAAGTTGTTAAAAGAACCTTAAGTTTTTCTGTAATTTATAATTAAAAACAATCTTGATTCGATTTAAAGCGGCCATTTTAAAAACACTGGGAGCAACGCAGCGTAAAAGTTGAACTCGATTCTGAAAAGAAAAAAATTTCTTATGAAATAGTTAAGTATACAGAAATAATCAATCAATCAATCAATTACTTTATAAAGCGCTATTTCTGCGATGTTCAACAGTGCTCCTCAATAAATTTTGCAAACAATTGGGTCTTGAGATCCGCTCTGAACTTCTTAAGTGATTGAAAAAGTCAAAGAAGGAGGTAAAGAGTTCTAGAGAAAAGGGCTAGAAAAAACAAAAGCAGATTTAAGCAAGAGTCTTTAACACGAGTATGGAAGAAGTGAGAACAAGAAGGAAATAATTTATATGAAGACTTACATAAATGTGAAAATTTTAAAAATTATTCTATATTTTCTAGGTAGCCAGTGCAAGATATGAAGATATATGGGAAAAGAAAGGGGCACGAGCAACAAGACGAGTAGCAGAGTTAAAAGCTTTACTTAAAGGATAGAATGTAGAATCAGGAAGACCATAGTAGAGAGCGAGTTACAATAATCAATCCTAGGTAAAACTAAAGAAGTAACAAGAAGGAGAAGAGTAGGATCGTCAAGAAAAAGCAAAAGTTTTTATTCTACGACGATGAAAGTAGGAACTTCTAGCAACACTATTAATCTGAGAAAAAAGAGACATGCTAGAATCAAAGATAAAGCCTAGACTACGAAACTTGCTAGAAACATCAAGAGTTTGAGAATTGGGTATGATAATAGAAGGAATAGTAATAGAGTGTTAAGATTTATTAAAACAAATTATATATATAATTCAAATTTAGAATGATTAAGTTTAAGACACAGAGTCATACCAAGCGATTATTGAAGAAAGACAGAGATAGATATGAAAAACAACATAATTCACTTAGAATTCTAAGTATATGATTTAGAATATGTATTTTGTATCCTATATATACGGCGGCAATACTTTTTATACGTAAATTTGTTTTATTCGTACAAGGACATTCCATCGTATCTTGTTCTACGCATATTTATTTGTAAATTGAAAGAACGGAAAAGTTATGTCAAGTTTTAAGAAACGAACTAGGAATTAATAATAATCAGTGTTTAAGTGTATGGAATCGGAACAAATAACATTTTTTTCTTTTTGAAGCAGTAAAGTTATTGGAAGCTGTTAAGGTGTTTCCTCCGTATACAGTGACGGATCTAAGGGGGATCGGGGATGCAGGAATACATCTTCCACCAGACCTTGAAAAAAGTAAATGCTGAAGTTTCGGTGTAATATAATATCGAAGTAAACGGAAATTAGTATAAAAAACGTCCTCAACTAAAAATTTTGAAAACCACTTCCCCTCCGAAACAGGAATAAACTGGAATTTACGACGATTTTTAAAAGATCATCAACTTTAAAATCATTACCCACCGCAAAATTCTGGATCCACCGGCAAATATTATAACTTTAGTTCTTGGTTTTAAAAAGTTATCAATAATTGTGACGTATTAGAATAAGGTCTTCAACAGAAATGAAACCCAGCTGAGAAAAAAAATCAATTTACTTTTTTTAACCAAGGCGTCGTGTCCTACGCCGTGACTCCTTGATTGAAAGTTTTTCGACACCGACTCCAACCCCGGGTTCAGACTTTTTCAACTTTTGTTTTACAATTTTATTTAAAAAGTTACGACCAGCAGAGTTATTTTCAGTCCAAAATTCTTTAAATTCATATAGGAATTTCGTTCATTTGACTCCAATACACTGACGGTAATGCAGACTTAAGTGAAGTTTTTAAAGACTTTGTAACGGAGATTCTTGAAATTACTTTGATGTATAAGTGACAACAATTACACGTCTTATTTATAAAAACCATCTATTTGATTGATAAAATGTGTTGAATGTTAGTATTTGAAGAAATACTTTGACTAGAAAACAAATGATAAAATGTTTCTAACATTAGGATGACAAAAATTTAAAAACTTTAAATAATACCATCTGTTACAAAAAAATTAAGAGTCAAAAGTATTAACAATTATATTTATATGACAAAAATGTTAATTTTTTATTTGATTATAGACACTGGATATATCAAGTTAAAATTATTTTGATTACAAAATGATGTAATATCAACACGGCATATGTACGCTGTTAATGCAAATAATGACCAAGGAAGTAAAATTGGCCAGCACAGAGATTGAAATAACGAACCATGCAATCTATTTCGAAAGCAAGTACAAAGATTTCAGTAGTAGGCAGTCAGTGAAGATATTTAAATAAAAACTTCACAACCTTCGGGACGTAATGTTCAAAAATTCACATTCATGATGATGCTCTCTTCTAATCAATAAAATCATTCAAAACTACTTTCAGAAAACATTCATTCAAATCACATTACGGATCTCCGACAATGAACATTCAATTATAATCAGAGAGGACAAAAACAAACAATAAACATTCACTCCATTCAAATCCTGGGCCCAACAAAAAACATTCCTTTCATTCAAATCATAGGCAGGCCCCAACAGATGGCGGTGCGATCGGCTGATGTACTAACAAATGATAACTGGGTCGGATGCCACTTGCATTGGATCACTTTGTCTTTGTGCTCGGCTACAACCACACTTGGCAATTTTCCTGTCAATTCACCTAATGAAATATGTAAAAGTCACAAGCGTTGAACTAGCACAACAATGAACAACAAAGAGACACGAGAATTTCCATCTAAATTTTACTCAACTAGAAGAACAATGAATGATTTGACAGTAATCAGCTAAGATCATTCAGCCATGGTGATCCAGTGATTCGAAAACCTAAATATTAGCATTATGAGTAAATCAGATTATCGGTTTCAGCAGCTTAATTTTAAAAAGCTTTAGACGTGATATCGATACTAATTCGTTTTATGTGCATGTGACGCAATGCATAGAGTGCTGAAGAAATAACATATTATTATTATTATCATCGTTCATCAATGCAAGTAGTAGGAACGTTGATAAATAAGCTGCAGTAGAATATAAAAGCGTGTGAAGACACTGAATGAACAACCTGGGATATCAGTCATAAATTAGTGTGGTGATGAAAGATATATAGATTAATGACTAAATTAACAGTCGAAATCACTAAACCTACATAACAATATCTTTAAAAATATTTAATTTAGGCAAAAGGACAGTAATTAGATTCGAAGTCATAAAGTAACATGGTGCAACAACTGGTAATGTAAAATGGTGAGATAGTGCGGTGGCTGTGTTTGCAATGTAGTGAACGGGCTTGAATTGAAAGAAATCTCCGACCACCATGCACACTGTGCAACGCTGCCGATGATTTCTTCTGAGAATTACTGAAAAGTTTACCGAAAATCAATCAATCAATTATTGATTTCCGAACATGCCAAACGTCCCTGTAAAAAGTTTACCGAAAATAAAAAAATAATATAGAAACTAAAATTTTTAGGGAGATTAATGATATATTTAAAAATAATCTTAAAACATTCAAACCGTGCAAATCAGAGAGAACAATTTTTTGATCATACGAAGCTGTCAGGAGGTAATTTGCATTGTTGGAAAACCTGATTAATTGAGGATGTAATAATAAATATTATTTGATGATGTAAGATACAGGTGAAAATATAAATCACTACATACATTGAAAGTCAATAAATTACCGAGCGATGTAAATATAAAACTTTAGAAAAAAAGCTTGAAAATGGATAACAGTTGAGAAAGAAACGAAGTATGAGGCAACCTGACAGATCTGATTTCTGAATGATGAGGCCTGAAGACTTGCACGACTTTGTTGCCTCTGACATCCCACAGCATACAACTTGCGTCTTCATGGCCAGACGCCATTAATCGACCCGATGGATCCACACAGACTGATGCGAATGCACTTCCACCTGTGTTCATTATAATCATGGTATTGACGCCAACATTCTTCCACATTCATTTCATAAGTTCGTCGTCATCGCCATCTCTGCCAAAAACAGTGATTATCCTGCCTTTAACATGATTATTGCCACCCCTCTCCAATCATTTTTGATTTGAAAAATAAAACAAAATCTGATTATCCTAACTTCAATCTTATTTTAATTTATTAAAAAAATCATTTGAAAGCAAACTTCACACCAATAAATCAATTCATGTTAAGGAACACTTAACAAATTGTTTTATTAATTCTCCCATATCCAATTAGCCGGCAATTTCTTTTCCGATTTTTAGCAAGACCAACCAAATGATCACGGCACATTTGAGACCTCAAGACAATTTTATTATTTTTAACTTTGAAAAACATCTTTTGGCCCTAGCAGCTGTGACTGATAATGTTAGAAGAATCCGGAGAGCAATCGAAAGATTAAGAAATACTCCAACAAATTTTGATGAATAAATATACTGTAAAACATTTTATGGGTCGCTTTTGATGGATCAACAAAGTTCCCTGTAGCTTTTATTTTGTTCCAGTTCTTATCCGTTGATTCACCATCAGACGTTAGCGCTAATAGTAGAGACAAAGCAGATTGACTATCCAAATCATTTGATCAAAGTGTCAACCGAGACAAATTCAACGGGCATTTTGCTTCCATGTCTGCTAATCCGTCTCAAGTAAATCATTCAAATTAATCGTTCATAACAATAATTTAAAAAAAGTCATACTACCTCTAGAACATCCATCATTAACATGCGCAAATCGGCTCAAAATTTTAGGTGTCGCATTCACATCAACGTAAACTAAACTAAACGATCTAAACCTTATCTAAGCTATCTAAACCCAGCCGAACTTATTAAAATAAAATCTGGTCAAAACTAATTGAAAACTAACCTAAGCTTAATCTGAGCTGAACTAACTTAACTTAACCTAATTTAATCTCAAATAACCTAACAAAATGAATAAAATGAATGAACAAATGAATAAAATAATGAATAAAATGAATAAATAAACAAATTTATAAATACAAATAATAATAATAATAATAAATTTACAAATAAATAAACAAATTTATAAATTTACAAATTTATAAATTTACAATTTAACAAATGAATAAAATGAACAAATTTAGCACACGACCAAGCTACCTACCTTCAGCATTTATAACACAAATGGGTACGGATGTTCTCAAGTCCCACAACCGAGCTGTCTTGTCTTGCGAGCCACTCACGAACGTACAATTTCCCCATGAATACAGTGAATATATGTGCCCTGCATTTGAATAAAAAATTAAAAAAACATAATTGAAAAAATAGCTACGCCTAACTGACCAGTGTGTCCAGAGTAAACCCTAAAGTTTTGAGAGGTGTTGCAATCAGTGATGTGAATATGACAGTTTCCAGCCCCTCCACTGATCAGAAGACTGCCGCTCGACATATTCTGTTCTTTTATAAACGTCACATCTCTCACTGTACCATCGTGGATATTCAGTTCTGTGTCAGCACCTGGTCATCAAATGATATGATCGAATGTTCTAGCTATCATCACTTCAACACCATCAATTTGCAGATCAATAAGTTGCAAGAATGCTCAAGATTACAATTGCAAGTCAACATTAAATTCGATTCAGTAATTCTTGATTTTTGATAGAAACCCCTTTAGAGGCTTTTAATAACCAAATAAAGGATAATAATCTTTTTTTTTATTTTTATAGTGTAACATGTTCTTTCTTATCCTTCCCAACTGATACTTTTAAAAGTTTTTATCGGAGACAAAAATCGCAAATCTTTATAAACATATAAATTTCGATTTTAAAATCTTCACAAATTTCAAGTAAAATCTTTAAGTTTCTCTTTGTAAAAAAGTTAACACTCAGACACTTATAATTTCGGAGATTCTGCCTATGTAGCACACTGGCAAATCAACCAAAAAATTAAAAATGCTCACCTTACCATGTCCTGATCACCATTGGTTAATTTGGAGCTAACTTATATCATCTCCACATTTCTTAACCTTTCATAAACTATATTATTTAGTCATCTTTTAAACTCAGTCATCTTAATCACAATGACAACAAAGTCAAACTAAATAAGCCAGATAAAAACTTGTAAAGATGAAAATTTCAACATAATTTCAACAATTAAATTAACTAAGCAATCAATTATTGTCAATTACAAACCTACAATACAGAGTTCTTCAAAATTGAAACGATTGATCTTTATGCTCTTGTCATTGGAGCCAGTGACTATGAGGTCACCAGTACCATTGAACGATGCACAGTAGATGGAACCTTTGTGATGCCTTGTTCTCTCTACTAAAATGTCCGTCGCTTCAGTTACATGATCTTCTCTGTGCAAATGACCAAAAAATTAAAGTTGTGAAGTTGTGACGATTGGGATGATAATGATTGCGCGATTGAGATATGCCGCCTGTATGGTGATGATAATGATTGCGCGATTGAAATATGCCGCCTGTATATTTTGTGAAATTGTGATGATAATGATTGCGTCTTTGAGGCGTGCCGCCTATACATATCTATATATTTTACTAGTCATTCTATGCATGTATATTTTGTTATTTGATATGCTATATATGCGACGCTGCTGTGCTGTATCGCTTTTCTGAGTATAGGAAAAGAGTATAGATAGGAGTATAGAATTTTCTATAATATAGAAAGCGTTATGTAGATAGGGCGGTAAAAACATATAAAAGGCCGCGAGTTGAGATATAGAGAGGCTGGTCGTTTGTTATCTTAATTTTAGGTTTTGGTCTCTTGCTTGTCAGTTGTATTATTAATAGATTAATTTTGGACTTATCGTTTTGTTTTAATAAGGACAGAGGTTTGATTTGTATTATTTTGTTTGTTATTTTATTTCTTTTATTGAATAAAAGAAGNTGTACACTTGAAGTTTGGCTCGACTTAATTATTCTACCTAAAATAATGGATGTGAAGAAGACTG